TTTGTCGGATATGGCGGATGAGGAGGGGGAGTGAGAAAACCCCAGTATGTTACCAAAAAGGTAAATGAGGTAAAATTATTATTCAGATTATGGCTGATGGCGGCAGTGTTCTGTATACGATGTCCGTACGCTCTAGCTAATCTCGTACCGCACTGTCACTCTGTGACATCGAAGATGTCGCGCGCACGGACTTCTTAAGGTAATTCGTCATGGTTTCTGGCGTGGTCGAACTGCCGTGCGTTAGGTCGCATCGGTTATGTCAAAAGTCTCGGCAGATTTTGAATTTTTTAACCAAAAACAGGACGAAAGCCCTTGCGCATAAGCCTAAAGAATCATTCGAATCCAATAAATTGGTAACATTCAGAAAAATAAAAGCAGAATCCTGTTTGAAAAATTACATTGCATTCGATTCATAGTTTCAATGTCTTGTATCGAATGCGAGTTTTTTCCCCTAACAAGATTCTGCTTTCATTTCTCTGAATTTTACCAATATTTTGATTTAAAATATCCTTTAGGCTCATGTGCAAGGGCTATCGTCCTTTTCTTGGTTAAAAATTCAAAATCCGCCGAGATTTTTGGCATGATCGATGCGAGCTAAGTATCGCATGCCAGTTTGAACACGTCAGAAACCTTGGCGAATCACCTTTAGATAAGGAAAGCGTTTCTTCATATATCGTGGATGACGCACCAAAAACACGTGTATCTACGAAAGCACGATTTATCAGGAGAGTGACAAGACTTCCTAACTTGCTTTCAGGTGACAATACAAACCCAAAACTTGGTGAAAATATCAAAACCAGAGGTTGAAAGTAAAATAGGTACTGGCAATAGGGAGTGAAAACGGGAAGTTTGAGGTGAAAACCCGAGAGGGGGAAGTGAAATTATTTTCTTACCTTCAGGTAGGTACCTACCTTGGGAATTTTAAATTTTCTTTCATGAAGCAAATCGAAATACGATGACCGTCTAACAGATATACACACGTACTTTTGAGATGGAGCCAGAACTTTTGATTAGTTACGTTTCAATCACTTCGCCGCATAATTATTTCACTGATAACACGCGTTTACTTCAAAGGGGAAACACTGAATTAACTAAATGTCTCAAACTTCGAAATTAAAAAAAAATTCGACGGTCGTCTGAAATGTCTCAAATGGGCCTGTTGCATGCAAGAGGTACAGCCGTGCGAATAGACACTTAAGAGGTTAAATGACGCGAAAATTACGATGGTCACATTAAAAAAGTCTGAAATACACTCCTTACTGCGCAATTTGCGTTATTAGGAACGCGCTTTTTCATGTTTCTCCCGTCTGAGGGCAGTTTTCTAACGGAAACAATTAACGACAACTCGCGGCTATTTCCGGTCAACTAAAACTGACAACATAACCTAAAAATCGGAGCTCGTGACATCGTGAAATGAAATGTAGAAGGATTGCGTTGGATATTTAAAAGTTGATCGATTTGGTTACCGCATAAAGCGTATATGGACTATATGGATCACTATAAGAGATCACGTTGAGTTTGAAAACAAACTGAAGGAAAAAATAACAACAACAACAACAACAACAACGACTCGGCATCCTCCGGAAATCACCGAGCCCGCCGTTTGCTCGTTTCCGGTGATTAGAAAACTGTCCCCAGACGCGGGAGATTTGAAAAAGCGCGTTCCTAACAACGCACATTGCGCAGTAAGGAGTGTATTTCAGACTTTTTTAATGTGACACTCGTACTTTTCGTGTCATTTAACCTCTAAATAGTCTACTCGCGCGGCTGTATCTCTTGCTTGCAACAGGCCCATTAAATGAGTTGCGCCAACAACAGCACACAAAAACCAGCTGATGGCAGGGCCGGATTTAGGGGGTGGCCACATGGGCCGTGGCCCATGGCGGCAAATTTCGCAATTTTTTAAAATTTGGGTATAAAAAAAGCAGATTCAGAAAAAAAATTACAAACGAGAAAAGGCGACAAAATCTCTCATTTCCTGAAAGTATAGTATTTCCAAGTTCGTCGTCTTTCGGTGATGTCTTTCGATGATGGTATCACCGAAAGACGACGAACTTAGAAATTACTACACTTTCAGGAAATGAGAGGTTTTGTCGCCTTCTCTCGTTTGTAATTTTTTGTAGACAGCACCTTTAATTGGTCGAGTTAAAAGAGAAACCAAACAGGCAATTTAGCCTGGACGGCGCGGCGCAAAGAGTGATGATGACGAGGACTTAAGATGAAAAGGAGAAGCCCTTGGTGCGGCGATCGGCATGAAACGCGTATTAGTGCCTGCAAGATTGCACGAATACTTCACGCATTGCGTCAAACACACGCGGTCTGCGCGGCGCGCGGCGGGGGAACTTAAAATGATTAAACCACATATGGAAGGTGTAAGTCGGCAATCACATAACTCGTTTGCGGTGTCTGAAAATATCCGCCTCTATGTTATTTTTTTAGAGAAGAACAAATCGACATCATTCCTTGAAGTTTTTGCAGAATTTTCTCCGCGCGTGGAAGAAAAATCACGGAAGTTTTAAAGGATTGCCGTTGAGTAGTTTTCCATTTAAAAAATTAAGTATGACAGGAAGTCCGCGACGTCGCAAAGTGAATTATGTGATTGCCGACTTACACCGTCGATATGTCTGTTCTTTCATAATTTTTCCGTTCATATCTTACAAATGGAAGGCCTTGTCCACGCAGAGATAGGTTTACGGAACTTAACTTTCGCTGAAAGTTCCGTGAACTTTCGCTAGTAGTGAGGGCTTTCGCAAAAGTGTGTCCAACACAAGTGAACGCGTCTTATCCACTCCTTCCCCCACCGGCACGTTCACTTGATGGTTTTTATTGATGTCTCAAAACGAGTGAGAAGGGGGCGGCAAAATATAGGCGGCCCATGGGCGGCAAGTAGGTAAATCCGACCCTGGCTGATGGGTAAGGTTTGGTATTGGTTTAGCTCTGTGCCGACAGAGTCCGCGTAGATGCACGAATAGTTGCATAGCCCGCAAAGGAAAGGCGTCGAAGACGAGGTTCAGAGATTCACGTGTTTTCGGAAAGAAGCGGGAGGTATGTGTTAACATTTTTCGTCATTTTCAAGCAATTACCCGAATTTTTCCTCACATAATCTCTAAGAGATGCGCAGGATAGGGAAGAGACGATATGAAACTCTTCATTAGAGATAAGAGCATGATTTAAAAAAATGTTGTGATATTTACGTTTGTAGTAGTAATTACTCTGAAAAGAATTTGTTGAAGAACAGTTCAAGAAACCCTTAGTATATGTCAGGTGCAAAACCGAAGGAAGCAATAAAAAAACCGTGACTGAGTTACTCACTTCTTACCGTTTTTACTGCTTTTCAAAAAACCCAAAACCTGAAATCTGTGACTATCTAACTGAAATAAGAAGTAACGAATTTTGAGCTGGATGATTAAACTGCGGAGACCTGAGAAATTAGAAAACTCTGTTTAAAAAAATGAAGTAGATATAATCGACGCTGATAACGCCTTTCAAAACCGACAAGTTGCTTTTTCAAGACTGAAATTCCGACTGAACGACAATTGCAGTCGGAATTTGAGCTCTGAAAAAGGCGTTGACAATACTTTCTTTTATAAATTTGAGCTTCATTATTTTCTGATCCTTTTTTCATTCTTGTACTCTTAAAATACATTCTTCAATGTAATTTTCATTTATATTTTCGGATGAAAATCATGTAAAAATGGGCCAATAAACAGAGTTAGTGTCAATCTTCCTTAGAGAATGTTCCCCGCTTGTTTTAGTTGCTGGTTGAATATGTTGAATCTATCAGAAGTTTTTACCTATCCTTTTTTGTCACTTAAAAATTTAGCTAGACGTAAACTCACAATTATATGCCAAAAATTCGACCATTGCATTTACATTTCTTTAGATGATTAAGAACAAACAAAAACTGATAGATAAACATATGAGAATTTTTGTAATCATTGAGAGCAAGCTCTATTAAACTTATGTGCTTCAATCATTTAGTTTGTTGGTATTTTGTTTTCCTTGATGTCAATCCAAAAACTTGTAAGTGTAAGAAACAGCTGAAATGAAGACTAAGTGGTAATTTGAGGGGCCTGGAGGACAACCAGAATAAGCACAGTTTTTGCTATTTCAAGAAATACATATTTAAAACTTCAAAATTACATGGAGCCTCATGGCGGAAAGGAAATTTAGACGCACTTTTTTATGCTTAAAAATTTTATATTGGTGATGAATTTTTTACAGAATGGACTTTAGGACTAGTTTCAGTTGAAAACATGAATACCTCCATTTTTTTCAAAAACTGTGCTTATCCAACTTGTTCTCCAAACCCCACATTTGAGATAACTTGTAAAAACTTTTCAGCTCATCCTTTCACCAGAATTCATAGGTGCCAAGCTATTGCGGTGAACTAAATTACTTGCTAAAGTACCTAACTGTGGTTAAATATTATCAAACTCGACCCATTAATGTGATCCATCAAAATATGTATGGTGAGAATTGCAATCGCTTACTAAGGTTACATTGACATTAATGACACTGTCCTTCCTCCATCACTATAGTAGTTCACTTAAAACAAAAAGATGCAAAGGATGGTGGGTTTTCTTGTTGCTCGCATACACTGATAGGTACATGTAATTTTGTCAAACAGGATATTTGAAACCAAGTCAATGTATTTCAGGGACTCTCATTTCCACTAAGGACTTGATTAAACCCATTGTCATGAAGGAACTAATATTCTCTTTGAGAATTTCATCAAAGTTGATGAACAGACACAAAAGTTTATTAAAAAGTTCTCCACACTATAGCTGACTCATTTGCTGTATCCAATTAAGGAATAATAAATGTTGAAAGTAGCAAGGACAGTAATATAATATTTAAAGTAATTTAGATCCTGACATCTCTTCCTACATTTCGCTAATTTTATCAATTTGCATTTCTGTTGCGCGTGGATTTATTTGTATTCCAAGAGCATTAAATTAACTCTTTTGGTGAATGTGATAAGAAACAACAACCTTCAATTTTAGAGTAAGTTCTCTAGGTTTTAATCATCTTCATACGACCATAATGTACAAAATAATAGCACAGATATCATTGGAAAATAATCAAAAAACAAAGTTTAGCCTTGATTCAGGTATAACAAATCATGCACTTTTTACTCAGTCCTGAGGATTTGCTCCTCAAGTCAAATATCTGACTCTTAGACAAGAAAAAGAAAAAGAAAGGAAAGCAATATGCTTCCATAAAAATACAGTTAAGTTGCATTGCCATATAAATATAGAGAAATAAAGGAACAGCTAATTACTTAAAACAGAGATAACAAAGTAATGCAACAAATAATGTGCATGCTACTTCGTTTCAAGCCTCACTCCTTTCATTGAATAGATATGTAAAAAAATCAGTTTACAGTGCCCGTGCTCATAGCACAAACATCTAATGCTCTTTAATTGGTCATGCTTTTTATTATTGTATACATTAATTTGAATTAAATTCTTTTTCGGGAAACACTGCCCAGATTTTCACCTAATTATGAGCAGTTTCTATTTGTAAGTTAAGCCAAAAATCTGAAAAAGCTATACTGATACATATAATGATTGCTAATTCTAAAACTGCAGGAGGAATATGAGACAGTTTCAAATGGTTCGGAAAGTGAATGGTAGGCGCCGAAAGAGCTTCAGAAAGATTGAAGAAAGTTTTTTAGAACTTCCATCATGGCAAAGGCAAATCCCTTCAACTTGAGTTTACTAAAAAAGAATCAACAGAAATAAAGAAAAAATCTAATAGATAACAGACAGATAAAATATTGCAACAGAAGAACCTCTTAAGGAAAGTGCTGCTTCAATATCAGTCGCTTTGGCTAGCAAAACTTGGAGGCAAGAAATCTTCCAGGACAAATATTTTTTTAAAAAAAAACGAAAGCAGCTCTCCAGTCCAATTTATTCCTACGGCATTCATATTGACAAAGATAAAAATAAAAAAGCAGTTAAAATTGCGTCTTACAGTTACTTGGAATAAGTACAGGATACAATATTTAGAAAATTAATGGAAAAGAGTACTGTTCCAAATTTATGAAAATTCAAGATCAAAACTCAAATACAAAATAGGCCAATGTCAAAGTCAGCCGCCAGAATCATGATAACTTTGACTGTATTGGTAACCTACATCGGTTAATTAATTCAAAACTGGCGGTCATTCAAACAAAACAAACAAAATAGATTGATAGAAAAGCTTGAGGGACAAGGATTTCTTTATATTTGTTAAAAGAAATGCAAAAATGGAATTCAAATTTCCAATTTAAAGAACTAGGAGCAAGCGCTTGCTAAAAGAGAGAAACTTGAAACAGGGAAAGCAAGACGTAAATTTATAGATGAATGAAGGGAGAAAATAAATAGTACATTCGATAAGGTATTTAAGTAAAAATGAATAAATTAGCATGAAATTAATTTAAAGAATTCCTTACAATTAATCATGCCCAAAAACAAAGCTTCGATAGTCACAGGGCTGTATGATATTGATAGTTACCACCATCAGAGGAAAAAGGACACAAGAGGATCAAGTTATGAAAAACCAAAGATGCTTATGAACCTAGCAACACGGTTGTCCATTACTTGGACATCTCAAGAGAGAAGTAATTCAATACACATTCATTAAGATATTTACACTGGATTACAACTATTTACAAGATTCAGGAATCAACAAATTTAGTTCTATGGATTTCATGTACAACAGTATACTACAAAGGTGTTGATTTATCAACTTTGAGAGGAGCCAACGTAGCGAGCTCCTTCTCAATCAAAGGATGTGGAGTTTTCAACAACTATGAAAAGCTTTAAATCAAGTGAATCTAGTGGTATTGATTAAAAGCATGTATTTTAAATGGCACACAAATTTTTTTAAGAATTTTCATCTTATCGCTTTGACAAAAACCCATTCTTAGTATTTCATCACGAGAAGAAAAATAAATCCTCTCTCTTGTTTTGCAGCTACACATTTGACAGTGCATTAGAACTAATTGCACTGGTCAAATTTGAAATTAATTCTTCGATGAGAAAATAGAGAGGGCAAACAGAGAATAGTTTAATCGAAACAAAAAAAATGAATGTTTATAGTATTTTTTGTGGCTAATTCATTATTCTGACAACCTTCAAAAGATATTTCAGTCTTTTCAACAAAGCTTAAGTGAAAATCAAACTTTTGGGTGCTCCCTGCACCTACTGTCTTTAAAATGCACAATACCTCATCTAATCAGATGATGCATTTTAATTGCTGACAATATTTGGAAATTGAAAAAAGTCTTTAAGCCCTCCGAAGCACCATGTTCTTGATATTTATTACACATCTTTAGTTAATAAGAGAAAAAGGGAAAGAACCAAACTCGATCCCTAGTAAAACTTGGCGTTTTTTATTTACCTCTTCCTCTTATTAAACGATGTTATTACATAATGCCCTTTAGTATCATAATTGTTCATAAGTAGGAACTAATCACGCTAGTACCTACCTGGTTTGAATAAAAATAAAAAAATAAAAAAAAATTGTCTATTTCATATATATTAAGCACTTCCATGAGTTTCGGCTTCTCTTACAAATAACAATTTCAGAGACACATGACTTTTTGGTGCTTTAACCTTTTCAAGAATAAACAGATCACTTAGCAATGCACTCACTAATGATGCTTTAATGCACATTGCTTAGAATACCAAGTCAAAAAACCACAGTGACCAAGATAATTTCATCTATTGTATCACGTTTTTTAAAAGAGGATGTTTCTTTCAATTCAATCCGTATAAATGGGCAAATCAACAACTCAACCTATTCTAAATAAACTTGTGTTAATACGAAAAATTCTTGAGAAAAATGAAATACCAATGACTTGAGCATGTTAGTTTCATAAACTCTTACATTCCAATAGTCTTATTAGGTTGAAAACCCCACATGCTAAAATCCACACGCAAAGGCCTTTTTTTCCTTTTTTCATCTAAAACTATTGATTGACTAAGCTTCCATAGAATGGCAAAAAAAAAAAAAAAACAAAGAACAAGGGATACTTATAATGATTAAATTGAACTATACATACAACTCTTTGACAAGAGAGAAATAAATTAAGTACTTAGGGTAAACTACCTAAGAAGTGATCTAAGAAGGAATCAAGGGCGAAACAAATTTTTTAAGGCAGTTTCTGTTGTTGAAAAATAACTTATTGCTTTCCTTTTGAGGAAACATTGGGAATGGTATAATTGGCAAATAAAGAAGCTCATTCAATAGAAAAACATGAACCTGACAGGTAATAATACGGTTTTGAAAGAGAATAAGCTATTAGTGTTTAAGGTTAATTCCTTCTGATATAAAAAAAAGAAAAAATAAAAGAGATACAATAAATCATAATGAAGCTTGTGAGATATAATTGCATTATTAGAAAGTGCTACAAATATGCATTTACTATCAGTTTAATACACTGAATTTCACACCAAATAATTTTACTAAAGAATGAATTTCACAATATATTTTATATTCAGAATTGCGGTATCTTTTACGCACTTCTGAAAGGCTGATGGTGTTTCTTAAAATTTATATCTCAAAAGTTCCAAGAAAGTTGATACACTGTTGAATTTCTTAAAAACCTGTACAAAGCTAGAATGAAAAGCTAGGTTTTTGATTGGATAAGGCACGCCTTTTGATACAACTCCCCGGACATAATATTGAAAATTTCAGATGAATTACCATTACAGGAGAAATGAGTTTTTCATAGAACCTCTTCAAGGTGCACATGTGTAGATTGATGCTTTTGCATACTGATACTCAGCATTGTTAAATTGATAAAGTTTTTTGACACTTAGAAATTCAATCTTAAAAGATATGTGACAGAAATACTAGATTGATAAAAGGTATAAAAAAACAACAAATGCAATGTCATAACTATCAAGTGCTCATGCTGGTGAATGTTTGACTTGAGAATCTTAGTGTATGAAAAGTTAGGTTGTAAACAATAACAGACCCAATACAATATTAATGGCTTAAGAGAGATTCTAAACTGACAAACCATCTTTTGGCTAGGTTAGTAGTGCAGTCACTGCGACAAAACAAGGGGCAATGTAAGAAATATTTCTGTTTTGGATTGAAGGACACTTACTTTCAGAAAATGAGGTGATGGCACAATTTTTCGATAAAAGAGATGGGTAACAGTTCACTTCATGAACTAAAAAATTGTACAGTGCTGTTAAAAGAGCCATCAGTATTTACTCTAAACTGATCAGAAGAGGTCAAATGTTTTATTACACCTTTATATAGGCGCCAAGTGTTTATGATGAAGTACATATTATATTCCTAATACTTTCATCCTTGAAATTTTTTTGTGAAAGTTGATTACATATTAGAATTCTGAAATAATAATATGATAAAAAAAAGTCAACTCAATTTTTCTTAAGTGACAGTTGATTTATTTTGGCAGAATTAGGTTGAAACATCATCATTGGTTGATGCTGAGACCTTCTTAGAAGACTATTAATGATTTAAACTTTCTTTTTTCTTTGAAGTTTATCATGCTTAGAATGCATCATAAAAACTAATGAGGATCTTGGTAATAACACCTTCAAATGTGATAACCGTTGACAGGAAAAAAGACCTCTAAAAAAGTCTGCAAACATCCTGAATTGAGCTGTCAACATCAGAGTTTACTCAAGTATTTAGACAATTTTTGAGATATGAAACGCTCAAAAATATCAAACAAAATTGGCGATTCAGGAATTTGAAGTTTTTGAGTCAATAACACAATTCCAAGGAAAAGCTAATCTGCTATAAATCTAGTCTGCCATGTTCAGGGCACACAATTGCCCGTTTATAATGCAACCAATCCATTAGTTGCTTGCAATGTATTTCTTAAGACAGTGAAGAGTTTTTTCGTCAAAAACTCAAAATCCAATTTATCAACTCGACTTGACAAAAATCGTTCAATGCAAAAAAATTTCTCCAGAGGTTAAAATCAATTTGCCTGTGGACGGTCACAGATATAACAGAAAGGAAACAAGTAAAGGAAAACCGGATTCACTGATGAATTAAGAGAAAAAAAGTCAATTTACCTTTAATCACTCGGAATGAAGTACATAAAACTAAGAAAATTTCCTCAGAAGAAATACAAAAAAAAAAATTTACAGTGCACACTTCTTGATACATAATTAAGAAAACAGGATTTTTTTTTCAAATTTGCATTATAGTGCAACCTGTTCTGTAAGTTTGAAAAAAACCCTCCGTTAAAGTAGCGCTCATTCAAATCGCAGAGCCATCTCAGGGGCTCACAGAGCTGATCAATCTACTGATTACATTCCTAAATGTTCAATTAACGAAGGGAGACAGATAGATTTACAATAGATTTTTTTCAAAATAAATACAGAAAAATTTTAACGGGGACTAACTTTTCCATTATATTATCAAACTTTTCGAATTTAGGAGCTACGAATCACCAAGTATGCACCGTATTTATGGCTGGGCACTGTGATTCATAAATGAAGATGCTTTATGGTTGAGAATTCTGAGTGCTCAACATCATAAATGGAATAAATCTTGAAGTTAAATGACTGAAAAGACGAGTTAATGATTCTTTTAGATCATCATTTGTGCATCATAAGATGGGGCAGGGAAAAAAATATTGAGAAAACTTAAGGGAATCTTGGCACAAAAAAGCAACAAAAAATCTATGAAAGCTGAGTAAATGCACTGATTAAGGTAAACTTCAGCATCATAACCAAATTTTCTTTCAGATTATTTCTTAAGTTGTTTTTTTTAAAGAAAAAAAAACCAAGGCAGAGGTATTGACATAAAACAAATACAAAATCACTGAAGCAAGTGACAAAACAAAGATAAAAATTATAATTCTACGATGATTCAAACTTCATTTAGAGCCCTGCTAAAGATGCTATTTCAGAGCTGAGACACACTTCTGGTATTTGCTATCAAAGAATATAATGAACTGCTGTTTAAAATCACGGAAAAATAAATAATAAAAAAAAGGTTACATAAATATTATGTAGCAAAATCTATATAATCCAAGGCTATGTCATTGGGTATTCTAAAGTCATGATCATCAAAATTGAAAGAGCTAAATGAATCTTGATGATTATCAATGACCATTAATGGATTTTCCAGATCAAATGGGTTATTATTGGCTGATGGCACTTGATGACTGTTTGTTTCCAAGACTCCGAGAATATTTAGCCAGTCAGAGTCATCAATGTCCATACTTGATGGGTTTTCATTCTCCACTTCCATTTTACAGCTGGAGTCGAACAAATTTATTCCTAAATCTTTTAAATCTAATTGCATGGCTGAATCATCACAATGCATCATTTGGGATGAGTCTTGATTTAAGTCAGAACTGATTGGGAATACAGGACCTTCTGAAGGAATGATATCATTGCTCAAAATATTCGGCGATTCCTGGACCGCAGATGGAGACAGTTCACCCTGTTTGATCAGTATTTCGATGACATCTTCTAAAGTTGATTCGCACTTGTCTGAGGGTTCCTAGAAATAAATGAATGTTTCATTAAAGACAGACTCATTTTTGGGGAAAATTTTATTCAGAAAAAAGGTCACCCTTTAAATACTGATTTGAAGTTCAGGGAACTTTAAGATACAAGTCAAGTCTTCCATTTCCCACGGTTTCTCAAAAACCTAAAGAATCTAGGCTAACAATATAATACTTTTCATTGAAATTACTGATCAGAGTTGCCACAAACTCTAGAATTCCCCTGACATTTTTCTGACTTCTCTGACACAAAAAATACACAATTTGACATAGTTTTCAGGCAAAATTTTTTGTTCAAAACGTCAAACCCATTCCAGGAAGCAAATTAAAGTCACTTCAATTTTCTCCTGACACTTTCGTCCCTCTAGCTTCTTAAAATTCCCTGACATTTCTAGGAAATACCTGACTGTGGCAACCTGAACTCATGCTAAGCATACAGTGATTCTTTTGACCTTGTCACACTTAACAATTTAGCTTGTCAATAGGCACAAATGTTGCATGAAATGCATATAATTTAAATTAATTATGTGCCACGATTCTCTTCTCAAACGTTTTTTAAAACTTACTATGCTTTTGATCACTTGTTAGAGTTATCATTAGAAAAAGTTAATCGGTAGGACTAAGATTTGCGTGGATCATGATGGAATTCTGACATTACACCCTGGAATAAAAGAAAAGAAGAATCATCATACCTCCTCAGGTTTAATCAATTTTGCTGAGTGATCATTGAATGGAGATCTGCATACTGTGCTGTCATCAATGAACTGTTTGAAAGAATCAACTTGAATTGGCACCAGATTGATTTTGTTATTTGAGAGCGTGATTTGACTATCATCGATTGCTTGTGGTGAAGCACTAATCACAGTGTTTAAGTTTGTTGCAGGTTGAGGTAACGACGAAACCAGTAATTGAGCGGGTTGAACAAAAGTTCCAAGGAAGTCTGGCAACGAAGCAGTTCTGGAACATTTAAATTTTTTCATAAGAAATATAAAACAAAATAGGAATTACTTTTGAGGTAATAATAATTTTTGTGACTACACTTTTGGAATTGAACAATGGATGCAGCTGATCGAAACTTTTGATATCTTTTAGAGCATCAGAAATTTAAGGTTACCATACCTAACTACCGTAACTAAATATTGATGAAAAGAATCTTAAGAATTTTTCGTACCAGTCAATAATTATTCAAATTTTAATTCTTGATGTTGTTAAATATGGCAAAGAGCTGCCTTTCATCCCCAAAAAATATTTGATTACTTAAAATGGAGGATGGACACACAAAATTTGTAATTTACTGTTCTCAAACTTGGGTATACCTTCAGAGGGTCAATTTTTGGAATTTAAGCAAGTTCTTTGCGCCATGTGATGTAAATTAGCCTCTCTAAACTGTGGAACAGTGCCCTCATTTCATCTACTTATCCACCTTAAGAACTTTCTTGTCTGACTTCATCATACATGCATGATATTTAATAATGCAAGAATAGAAAGAAAAAAAATTACATACCTGATATGTGAAAAATTATTTTCAGAGTTCTGTTGGAGGCGGCTCAGAACCAAAGCAGCCTGTTCTTGACCGAGGACAATAGTATTACTCCTTTGAGTTTTACCACTAGTTTGATTGCTATTGCCAAGACTATTACAATTTATTATATTATTACTTTTTAGGGAGCTAAAAGGAGTTGTTCCTAGATTGATGTTGATATCAGCACCACCGGAGAAACTTGTACTATTCACACCATTTTTATTACTTATGCTCAAATTATTATTGTTATTGTTAATACTATTTTTACTACTGTTACTAGTTTTATTGGTTTTGCTACTATTATTAATATTGCCATTAGCCCTATTATCTATCAAATCACTATCGCTCTTTCCGGTTAGAATTATTTGTGGCTGCTGCTGCTGTTGTTGATGATGATGCTGCTGCTGCTGTTGTTGTTGCTGTTGCTGCTGCTGTTGCATTAGAAGTTGATTCAATTGTTTATGTTGAAGGAATGCAGCGAGATTGGCAGCAACACTGGCAGTTTGTTGAGGCTGAAAAACGAGCGAGAAACGGTATTGTGAAAAATTAATCACGAAGGAAATGAAAAATTGAAAGTAAAAAGAGAAACTGTCGCAAAACAGAAAATGTTTAACCGACGAACAATTAGATTAGGTTTGTAATTAAACAATTAACTTGCCAAAAAATTAAATGAAATAAAAATTAAAAACAATACTGGAAAAAAAAGAAATTCTTTGCCTCTTTCCTCTCTTAATACTTAAAAATGATGAGAGACCAATGCTTCAGAATGTTTACGCTTGGTCTTATAATTAAGCCTCAGAAACTTGACAGTTAACTCTTGATGCATTCAAAGTAATGACCTTTTTCTTTTTTTGGATACGTTCCAATCAACAATCATCAATTCTCTGAGTGTTATAAAATAACTATGTAGACTCACTGAGCAAGGCCTCTTTTGAGCTTCAAAAATCATTTCATAGAAAAGTGTCTCAAAAATTTCAATGGTACAATAATATTAAATTTCAATATTATAATTCAATAATTTCAATAATTGAGCAAAGTTTTTGTACAGAAAAGTAAGAATTGTCGTATTGAGTGTTCTAGGCCACAACAATACATCAGTAAACTTTTGCAGCAGGTATTGCAGTGTAATAAACAATATCCATGGTGATTAAGAATTAATGCCACCAGAATAATGACATCTATTTTTGTTTACTTGAGAATCTACCTCTTTTGTCAATTGCTGCAATGGTCGTTGATACTGTCGTTTAATCTACCAGTCAACCATTTCAGACTTGCAGGGTGATGGTTAAAAAGGAAAATGTCATGGAACTGTTCTCTTTTAATGAGTATGGGTTAAAAATAACCCTGCTTCCAGCAATGGGAAAAATTGAAGACTACTAGTTCACCCCACAAAAAATGGCAGGAGAGGAGCAGAGATAAGGACTGGCTTACGGTATTATTTGAAGGTTAAAACAAAGGTACATTGGTTCATTCCAAAGACATAAAGACAGAGCGCCACAAGCAAAAAATGAAGCTACTTTTCAACCACTTCTACTATTGGCTGGAGGATTGGCGGCGAAATCGGGACAAGTTTGAAATTCAAATGTAGGGCAGGAACTGAATAAAATTGCGTAAATAAATTATTCTAGGTTGATTTTGGCCCAAATTCACTTACCCACATACATTTTTTTAACTGTAGGTTATTTTTGGTTCATCATCCACCGATTAATTTCATTTGGGGGTAACGGTCATCTAGGACTGTAACGGCCTGTTTGAACGGACAGGACCACCATGAGCAGAAGAAAAACTAACTTTATCTCAGACCTTTGCTTGTTACCGAGCCAAAATAGGTGTATTATAAATAGTTGCAGTCCCAACTTTCTTGATATGTTCGTTAGGCATTTAAAACACGTTTAGAAGAAGAAATATGGAAAAATCAAGAGGGCAAGTTCAAATCAAATTTCCAATTGCTGCTATGGATTCCCGCGTACATTTACACACTCACACAAGCACCCAGAGCCAAACCAGGCTTCACTTTTCCCCCTTGCTTTTAGATACGAGCACTCCGTCTTTATGTCTTTGGTTCGTTCAAAGGACCTCGGCTTGCCGAAGCCAATAAACCTTTCAATAATAAACTGAGCTACTTACACCTGTACCCCTCTTACCAAGCACTTTTCGTGGTATGAAATATTGGGGTACAGTAGAAAAAAATTGTTTACCTGGAATGTGTGAACTTGTGTGACTTGCTTGACAGGTTCTTGCTGCTGTTGTTTTTGTTGATTGAGCTGCTGTACTTGCATTGGCTGCTGCTGTTGTTGCTGTTGATGGTGGTTCTGTTGTTGCTGTTGCTGCATTTCATGAATTTTAATGAGCTTCTGCGAATTGAGCAACTGTCTTTCCAGCTCTTCAATTCTCCTATTTTGTTCTCGAATAGTTTCTTCTTTGGCTTCATTAACTACGCTACTGATGCTTGTCCCTATCGACTCAGCAGGACTGTCAGGGGCCATTGGTATAGATTCACAAGGACTATCAGGATCTAGTGATCCCATTGACATTGGCTGTGTGGCTGAGGGAGACGATGCTATAAACAGAACAAAGATAACGACCCATTACAGGTAGGAAGGACAGACATAAAAAAAAAATTGGAGTTAATTTTGAGATTTTAGCGATTTGATTTTAACATTTGGATTGCATTTTGCAAAAAGGAACTACTAGCATTGCAATGATGCTAAGATTGTGCAACTTCATCTTTTGCAATACAATTGCGGAAATCGTGAAAAACTATGAAATTTAGATGGTAATTTTTGTCTTAAATTTACAGTTTTTAGCGAGTAAAATAGAAACTATTAATGGATAATCGGGTTTTTCCTCCAAGACAAAGGAAGTTGCATAATCTTAGCAACATTGCAATGCTAGTGGTTCCTTTTTGCAAAATGCAATCCATTTTACCTTTGAATAAAATTAGAAATTCTTCTTTTGTTAGGCAACAAGCCATGGCAGATCTTGCTACTAACAATTACCAATACTGTGGGCAGTATAACATGGACATTTCTGCCCTAAAACGCACAGGGTGGTGAACTTTCTTACTTTCAAATCTATTTTTCTACTATTTGTCACTACGTCTACTTTTTACCTATTTTTTTACTATTTTTTTATATGGAAAAAAGAAATATGAAATATACCCCGTACTTAGCTCGTTAAGCACTCTCAGATGAGGCACTAAGATTTCCTTGAGCAAGTTCTCCATTCAGTTTAAAAAATATTGGGTCTTTGATGTATTGCATAGACATTACAGAAGCATTTCAGGCGGGTCAATTACTATTTGACAAATGCAATGCCGTATATAAGAAGATGCAAGAAGACAGGGATAGAGGAAACCAATGTCAACTTTGAGGAGGAACATACCGGATAAAGAATCTTCTGATGGAATGGTGAAAGTTGTGACATTCGGTGGCGAGTTCATGATGTTTGCTTTCAGCTGTTGTTGACCAGATTCGGTGAAAGGTTTTAACCTCTCGATCAATTGTGGTTTGGCACCGGAAACAGGTAAACTCCTTTTCTTCAGTTCACTTTTTAGGTCGCTCACTGTAAACAAACAAAAGTGTCAACGGTGATAAATTTTCCATGGGTCTCAAAAGCTAGAGCAGGAGCTTACCTCGTGTTTCGAGATATGATAGCATGGAGAGACCTTCTGAGAAGATGGTATTTCTCTTGCGAAACAATTAAAATCGTCCTTGTCTTTCATGCTAGTGAGTCAGACTAAGAGTCAAAAATTACCAATGTATCGGTAGCTGCTTTCGAAGCTATTCAATGTTATTGCTGATAAAAAATGGACTGATAACAAAACCAATCCAGCTGCCTCCCGAGGTCAACAAGTAGTTAAAAATTAGGCTGAACTGTAAATGCATCTAAGAACAGTTTTATTGACCCATTTAGCATGCTCAATCTAACGTCAGTATGTATTTCTTTGATCTATGAGGACCCCCAGTGTTTACCTCAAATAAAATTTAACACATAGAGCGAAAAGAGCAAAAATATTCAGAAATGCTCTGCTCCTGAACATAAAATTGAAATATACTCCAGTGAAAGGAACTAATTAAGACGAAAAAATACTTTTCTACACAAAGAACAAATATTTAAAAGTTGAGAGATATATTTACCTTTCATGTCTTCCAAATTACGTAATGGACGATTTTCTGGCATTGGTGGAGGGGGAGGAGGAGGAGGAGGAACAGGAGGGGCAGGAGGTGGTTGTAAAGAGGTGGATGAAACAGGGGTTTGAGGTTTTTGATTGGCTGGCAAAATTATTTTTGGAAGCGAATGAGGATCTGGGTATGACTGATTCATTTTGATCTGCATTTGCATGGCTGCCAACAACATTTGCTGCTGTTGTAAGAGCAGGTCGTAAGAGGTTTCTGTTGGTGGCGAGCTTGAATTTATATTAGACGATTTATGAGCATTAGGAGGGCCTTTGTATTCATGAAATTTGATTGTCCTTGCCTTTGGCTGACTTTTGGTTTTGGACTTCTTTCGATTTTTGTCCTTACCGGGAGCACACGTCTGATGGTGTTGGGAATGGGTCGAAGAAGGTCGAGAGGTGGGAAGGGATGAAATAGAGGGGGTTGTAGCGACAGTTGAACAGACAGATGGAGGTGATGAAATTGAGCTGAGAGGAGACAGCGAGGAGGTAGTGGAACCAAGAGAAATCGGAGAGGCTATTCCGACGACCATGACGATGCCTGCTTGCGCTGCTGCAGTTTCGAGGACGTCACTTCCACTTGACACGGTGAGTGATCGTTCATTTGACTGCGAGCTTGGGGATGCACTGGATTCAATCTGTTGAACTGCACTGAGATCTTCTTTGGGGGACGTTGAATCTGAGCTCTGAGAGTCATCATCTATTGTCATGTAATGGTCAGGAGGTTGCGGTTTTGTCTTTTGACCTTCGCAAGTTGCTTTGAAAGGCACTTGGCCCTCTAAGAAGAAAAAAAGAAGCAATAACTGCATTAGAACAAATTTTATCAATAAGAAGACAGCAAAATTATGAGACCAACCCTTTGCTTCCAGTCTATATTTGCAGACCGAGGCAGAAAAAAGTATTTTTGATCAAAGAAAGATGTTCAATCTGTTTTCATATTAAATAGAAATACTGTTTGTGGTGGAGTCAGACAAAACAGCCGTAAGTTAAGAAAAAATTATATCAGATAACTATACCACAATTAGAGAAAATAATTCTGCATCCAAAAATTCTAAAAATAGATTAGGTATTTGAGTAAATTATAAAGTTTTGGAATCATAGATTCCAAATTTGAGGATGATGAAGATGATGCTTGTGAAAACCGCCTTGAAGTTTATTTCAGTTGAAAAGCAGGAATAAGTGGTCTTTTGAAAATTATGACACTACACATAAAATATTTTAAATTTCCACAGTTCATAGTTTGGTCAAGAAGCATCATCTGTTAATGTCTCATTTAAATAATTTTTTTCTGGTTGGAAAATCTTAATACAAACACTGATTAATTGGGTGAATTTTTGTGATCATAGCACACACTTATTTTGATGAAATTTTGATTAGAACAACTTTATGAACCAAACTGTTGTTTGCTGCATTTTGTTCAAAGATCTCAACCAATTCAATTTCATCATGCAGGGTCAATTTAAAAATCAGGAAATATGATATAAACTGCTACCAATGTAATGAATGAAAACCTTCCTCAGAGGTATTTTGTTTTAGGATTACACTGGTTGGTTTGGTTATCATACTCAATCTCGAATAACTGCCTAACCTAGGAAAGGCTAAGGAAACGATTAATTTGAAACCTAGTTTGTGAGTATTAAAGATTAACTAAAGAACATATTTGAGAGACTAATTTCAATTAATGTTTCTCTTAGGAGAGGATACCATTGAAAGCTAATGCAAAATTTACCTTTGACTGCCTTTTCAAAAGAGGGTTCTTCTGTATGCAGAATATTTTTCTTAATTAGTTCGAGAGGACCTGGTCTCTGTGACAGTTGATCATTCAGTGCATCAACTAGTCTACATTTGTTCAACTGCCTTTGCTTCTCAGCTAAAGATGGGTCCACATGACCAGTATCTGTAAAGAAAAAAAGTCATTATAATTTGAATCAAGGGTAGACAATACACAAAAATAAAACAACAGACAAACAACAGTCTAAAACAGACTAAAATAAATAAACCTGCGATAAATAAACCTTCGATTTAAATAAACCTGCACACTCTAGGTGAACTGGTGCCTTACATAAATTGCGAAAACTAAACGCAAAGTTAGTGATGAGACCCTTAAATTTAGCATAGTTTGAAAGATATATAGCATTATTTGTGTCTTATTTTACTTTTAAAAATAATTGTGACTTTCTTGAAGACTACAATCTTAATAGAGAATGAGTAAGTTAAGTCATTAGTTTTTTTCCAATGTGTCAATCGACAAACTAAAACCAAACTGAGTAAATTATTACATTTTTTTTTTTTTTTTTTTTTTAATGTATTAGTATGCTATAAAGTAATTATTATCAATGCGTTCACATTTTTGTGGTAATCGCAGAGCCGTGATACAAATAATGTTTTCTGCTGGGTTGTTCAGTAGGTATGGATGTCATGACCTAGTAACAAAAAATACTGCAAATCATCATGATGGAATCATAATGCAAGAGTATGACAGTTTTGAGTCTTCTCTTTTCCCCATCAAAATATCTTCCTCGATTCTGCCCAGTTATAAGAGATTCGCAAAGTGTTACTTCTTAATTGAAGCTAAAGCTAGTGTCAAGCTGAGCCTCGGGACAAAAATAATTTCTCAAGATTATTGCGTTAAAAGCTTTTCCCTCTAATCTCATAGCTGGACGATGAAAAAATAACAATGTAATGAATTGTCATTTATAAGTTCTGCCAACTTTTTTGGCAACGTTATTGTCTGGCAGTTCTATTTTAAATTTCCAGAGAAAAAGGAAAAAAACAGGAGTAATTTCTAACCCAATTTCCGGATGTATAAGCTTGTAGGCATACAATTACAAGTCAGTGTGTGTGCGCATACACAGATTTACTGTCAAGATGAATGCAATTATTGAAATAATACAAAAAGAAAGGAATTGCTAATTACCCTCTAAAATATGCTGCCTGACGAGTTCTTCTCTGACGGGCCTTTGTTGAATTTTTGCCTTCAGAAAATCTCCAGTTTTGGCACGCTCAAGCTTTTGCCTTTGCTCATGGAAAGCAGGAGAAATTTTCAGGGCTGAAAGAAAAATAGCATAATTTAACGTGATTTAACATGAATTTAAACATTTTCCCAAGCTTTAGATATCAAAGCAATCATGCACCTTTAAAAAGTAAACCAAAAATTTGGCTCGGTGTGGAAAGCATGGGCAAGGCAATTGTTTTGAAATTAAAAAGTTTACTTAAATGAAAGAATAATGAATTAATGAAAAATAATAGAACAATTTTCGAGAACTTTTTAAACTTTCTTCTCTTTCACCGAAGCTTTTCTGTCGTGTCCGAGACGAAAAAACTTAACTACATTTCGAAGTTGCAAAAATACATTTTGACTAGAAAACCATTGCGAGTTTTTACTTGAAAAAGTCACCGATATTACTTCGGATTATAAAAGGAGCAACCTTTTTAGAAAACATCATATTCTTGAAAAAAATTCAACTATTTCAGTCAATTTTGCAAATTTTAGATGAAGATACGCTTTTTCGCTTGGAAAAAGACGACTGATGCCCTAAAAACCTAAACCGCTCAAAATGCAGCTTCAAACAGAGCTGGGGGTGGATCGAGTCATTTAGAGAGGTCGGACAAAATTTGGAGACTTTAAACTTGTATAACTCCGTTTATACAAAACTTTGAGGTTTCATTGGTTTCCTCGTGAAATTTTCTACTAAGAGCGCCCGCTAAAATTTAGAATGTGACAAAATTAACATCCAAATTTGCAATTTTAGTTAAAAATTTCGTGTCCGAACCCCCTAATCGACTTGATCCACTGTGTGGCGATTCTTGAAAGTTTGCGGCAACGTGTTTCCTCAATTTAAATGGATGAAAAATATTAGATTCTAAGTAAGGCACCTTGCCTCACCTAAAATCGATATTTTCAATGAATTTGAATGAAGCAAAAACACTTTTGCCAACTTGCAAAATCACCACTGGAGTAGGGGACTTCCAACTGTATAGTGCAATGAGAAGCGAACGAAATTTTATAGGAATTTGAAATGAATAGGAATAAAATAGGTCGGATGTAAAAATCACTACTTACGAGGCATGATTCCCTGGGCTACGAGCTGGCCTATGGGGCGTCTCATCGCCAATTTTTTCTTCAGAGCTGTTGAAAAAAAAAAAAAAAAAAAGACAGAATTAATTAAGGCTTGGAGAGGGACCAAATTTCGGAGAAACGGAGACAGCTCCGCAAATGAGTTAATAATCGGAGGTCAGAAAAAAACGACGGAATAACGAACTAGGATATGAACCCTCGTAAGTGGGTTAAATTTCTGTCCAAATTTCTCGTAACGCTTCGACATGGCGAACGAGCCGGGTTCCGAGGAAACGGACAAAAATACCTACCACTTTACCAATTTCTCCCGGCTGGGTTGTCACTATCCGACGCGTTTTCATTTCGGTTCTGTTATTATTGCGGTTTGTCTTTGAGAGCTCCAACTCGAGCAAGACCATAAACAATCGCCAACAAATTAACGAGCGGGCCCAGTAATAACACGGGCCTTCAATTAGCGCATCGTACAAGACTAAGGCGACGGCCAACCCTCGGATATCTTGCGGATCGGCCGAATATTTCCCGTCAAAATTTCCACCTGCCAAACCCGATCTCATTTTTGCCTCCGGGCAAAAATGAGAGGAAAAAATATGAGATTTTTGAGAGGTGGGGAGGCAAAATAGAACCCAGAAAGCAAAATGCACTTCAAGATCTCTGACAGAGTGATCCATAGAGAGCAGTCATTTATCTAAAAATTAAAAATCGAACTGGCGCATCCGCACGGAGAAAATTCTGACAAGAGTTCAATTTTTTTCAGAGAAAACACCAAACTAGGTCGAAACCAAATTACAGAGAAGTATATACTAGAAAAAGTCGTTTGAGTCCCCCCTGGTCAGAAAACATAGAGGACGCCCTGCCAAATCGTGGATTGGTGGAATATGGCAGGAAATAAGGAAATGCGATTTGCCGGGTGAGCTCTGGCAGGATCGCTGTTAGTGGCGGTTGGGTGTCGCAGAGCGCACAAAAGCGCTATAAGAGCGAAATGCTCGTCATATACTGGAAAAAAGACTCTTCGGTCTTAAGTCAAGACTCTTACAATACTTGACAAGAAAAAATACTCTTGATTCAATCGGACATTCGCTTGAATCAAAAGGAAATCCACCTAAATTAAGAGGCTTGGCTCTCGATTCAAGCAAAAATTCGATTAAATCAAGAGAATTTCTTCTAGTCAATTTTTTTAAGAGCCTGAACTCAGGATCCAAGAGACTTTCTTTCAACAGTATGATAGTCGGTCGCGAAAATGCCTCTTTGATGCAAAGATTCATTCAGTAGCCAACCTGACCAAGAAATGGATGAAAATGAATGAAGCCAACGATTCTGGCAGGAACACGGCGAAATGCATCATCCCCGCGGTCGGAAGTAACCAATCACCGACCGCCGAAGTGACACCGAACACCGAACGACCACACTTCGGTCGCGCGGAGTCGGCGTATATATTTTCCCGGGCGATGAATAACGCAATTTCCCCGCAGAAAACGGAGGGGGGGGGGAGGTTGACAGGAGCAACAACATGGCCCCGCGGGCATGAATGATGCCGAAGCCGAGGGGGTAGCGCCCCTCGGAGTCCCTTCTCGGACCCCCTCCGGTACTCCCCGCGGCCCCCCGGTCCTCGGGTTCCGCCCGCGGGCCATTACGGTGAGCCGCGACAAGGGAAACATGGATTGACGTTAATGGAGATGTAACAACTGGACAATTTATGATGCCCGCGCGGCTGTGGCCATATAATTGCGTCGTAATAGCGCAAAATTTGAGGAATGTTCGCCCGGCTGCGGCCGGGTGGCTCAGCTGCCGATTTCGGGAAGAACGACGTATGAGCATTCCAACGTTGCGTTGCTGAATGGACTAGACTTTCCGCTAAGGAACTAATACATTTCTGTCTCGTTTACAGAAAAACACGTGTATAGTGTTTGAAACACAAGCCGGGTCAAACAGCAATTTGCCGGTAAGAAATCGCTTTTGGAATGAAACTAGCGGCCAAGCCTTGGTCGCTAAGAAAATCGTAGTTTAAATCAGTTTTTGGGATTTTTCGGTGTATTCTTGACTCGGGGCATTTCGAAAGGACAATTTTTCATATAGACCCTAAGGAGGTTTTTGCAAGGTGCTTCTAGTTTCCTCGTTCATATAGGTGACGTCATTCTTTTACACTTTTGTATAAGTTCTTACTGTTCCGTGCTCAGTAAGAACGCCGCGTGATCCTTCAGACGTTGCAAAGTTTCCTTTGATAAAATATCAATTTCCGGGGCAATCTGAGAGCATTTATCTTGGAATTTTTCAAAAAATTTTAATCGCAATTAGACCTAAATTTTCTTCAAATTTTCAGAGAAAATATTCAAAATTCTCTTCAAGAAAAAGCCTTTTTTAGCATGAATTAGGCAACTCTCGAATGTCCACACGGAGTTATTTCTTAGCATGTGCATTCAGGTCTCCTTTACAAAGTCTCGAAGTAGATATGACGGGTTTTAGTGACACTGTCCAAATATTTCATCAGAGGAAATTTGGCAACATTTAAAAGTGGATAGGACGTTTTTCCTGAGCTGTGTCCCGTCCCTTAAGACGCGACCGAGATCCCGGCGACATGCGACGCTTGGCGAGGTTGAATCGCTAATGGAAATAGGTTAATAACCGGCGGGAAAACAGTCCCATGTTTATTAAGTTTGGGTAAATTATTTATTTGTCAGTCGGAACTGCGGGCGCAGATTTATTCTGTTAAATTTGGAGCACGATCTCCTCGTCCTCCTCCAATTAGGGGCTCCCTCTCGTCGCGTCGGAGGAGGAATTCTCGCCTCGAGTTCCGAGTTGTGCCAACAACCCAACACAATCATAATTGTTATTGTTATAATGTCTCCAGTCACCAGTGTGCGTTTGAATCTCGTCCGGGGCTTCTGCGACGGATCAATCAGTCGCGAGACTCAACATTAGTGCTTGTCGCCGTTCGCCCGGCAACGCCGCACAGAGGGTCGAGTCAATAGGAGAGGTCGGACAAAATTTGGTAACTTATAACTCCGTTTATATATAACTTTGAGGCTCTAGAAGTGGTTCCATTGGTTTCCTCGTGAAATTTTCTTCTAAAAGCACCTCTAAATATTTAAAATGTGCCGAAATAAACATCAAAATTTGCAGTTCTAGGCATAAATTTCATGTCCGACCTCTCGAATTGATTCGATCCACTGTGCGCCTCGCCTAGTTCCTCGTTGATGCGAATCTCTCAACTGTGCAACATCAAAATTAACCCCGGTCTGACAGACTAGGGTTCTACGACTCCTAACTCATGTCAGACAAGAACGCATTAGAAATAAGGACAAAACGAAACAGAAGGAGGAGAGGCCAGAAAGTGGGAAAAGAACAGGAGGAACAAGAGAAAATAAAAAGTGAAAGAAAGTGATGGAATGGAGGAGAAATCGAAGAGAGAGGAGGAAAAAGAAAAGGGGGATACTTAAAAAAAGAGGTGGACGAGTCGTACTAGCATGACTTGTAAAACAAATCGTAAAAAAAATAATGTAAAACTGGTATATTTACGAGTTAGAGAGCCGTATAGGTACGTAAAAAAATTGTAAAAAAATCGTGAATAATCAGAGTTCAAGAGTTTTAAGGGGAAAAATGATCAAAAAGGTGGTATCATATATTCTAGAACTTTTCAAGTGTCCCCGGAGCAATTTTCCGGAATTCATGGGTACTCGACGACTTAAGAAGATTCAAGTACATGTTCGAGAACTTGAAATGTGAAAGGAGAACTTAGAAAATCGACGCGGAAGGGAGTGCATGCATTCTAGGCTGACTTGAAAACCACGCATGGTATGAGGAGAAAAATTGCGGACCCTGATGGAAAAGTTCAGTGCTTTTTCAGTGCTTCCGAACCGCCCTCAAAAAATCAGTACCATTTCCGGATTTTCCGAACCAGTAGACATAACGCCCTTACGGCGAAGATCTGAATTTGGGGCAGAGGTTTGAAGAGTAGACTCAAACTACTCGATCTTTGAGCGAGCACACGACCAGACGTCATTCCGATCATTACGCATGGCATGAGGAGAAAAATTCCGGACCCTAATGCAAAATTTCCATACTTTATCAGTGCTTCCGGACCGCCCTCCAAAATCAGTACGATTTCCGAATTTTCCGGTCCAGTAGACACGACACCCTAACGGTGTTATAGAATACAATTTGAATTTGGGGCAGAGGTTTTCAAAGAGCAGACTCGAATTACTCAATCCTGAGGCGAGACATGACCAGACGTCATTACGACGTCGAGGCTCATCCGCGTCTCCGGACGGCGAAAAAAAACAAGTCAGATAAAGCATATGCAAACGGATCATAAAAACGAATCCGTTTTATTGCGGCTCATAAACGGAACGGTCGCCATTCCGGGAGCCGAGCTTGACACTTTAATACCCGGCGCGGCTGCGGCGAGCAGACGCGCGGATTCGATAATCCCAAGATCGTGCATCTCTAGCCCGGGGGGTGAACACCCTTCGAGCCCCCCCCCCCCCCCCCCCGGCTCGTTTTTGGGGAACGAGATCATTGAACGGGACGGAGCCGGCGCGAAATCGGAGGCGACGCCGACCGAAATGCGGAAGTGAGGAAATTTGTCAACGGATTTGGTTGGTTTAAAATTTTCGCACGTCGTAAACTGTTCCTGCGGCGACACGACGATGATGATTTACAGCGCTCGAGATGAAAAAAGTGTCCTGCTTTCCAGATCTCCGGCTCTTCAAATTGGTCTAAAAATATGGCCGACTCCGACGCCGCCACCGGGACTGGGACGCCGACCGCTGTTGCTCCTCCATCTCCGACACGACGCGCTAAGGAAGAACGCCGTATGAGCCTTCACACGTTGCCAAATTTCCTTCGATAAACTACTAATTTCCAGGGGAACTTGTGACTTTTTTCATTCAATTTTTTAAGGTATTTGATTTGCTTCACTAGAAAAAAAAACACATTGGATCTAGAGTCCAGACTCTTGAAAACATTGACAAGAAAAAGGACTCTTGATTCAATCAGATTTAAGCTTAAATCATATGGAAATTCGCTCAAATTAAGAGAGTTGGTTCTTGATTTAA